TACTAAGTAAGTATATATGTATGTACATAATGAAAACCGTTACCAAAAACAAAATGTAGCACTGTTTTTTGGACTTTTAGGAACCACCAAGAAAGTTAGATCTTTTAACTCCGTGTGTTTTTTTGACAGATAGGGCTGTGCATTATGCGCGCAGAGATAAAAGCGAACCTTTGACGGGAAAACTATTAGACCTGAGGGAGTATTGCAAGCAGGAAGTTCCAGAATCCATTCCTTCCACTTCACCTATACAGCCAGTGAAAATTTTGTCCAGAGGTTCATTCAGTTCTGCCACATTTTTGGTTTTTTTTTGGTGGTTTCAGTTTTACTAAATAACACGCACCGTCAACACCTGTTAACTTTATATTTTTTTGTGGAACGGTGTTCAGTTTTGCATAGAATTATGATCATTTTTCAAAGCTGTTCCTATAATTTAAGGCGGTACGAGTTTCCATACACTGCGTTATGCAGTTATCGTTTAAAAATGTTCGTATTTAAAAATAATATTTTCATACCAAAATATAGCAAGCCTAAAATTTAGAATGCCCACATCTGGGTATACATACATTGAAGAGAAAAAATAGTAAAATCAAATAAAAACGTATTTGAACCAAACGAAAACGTGTTCAAAAGTAATGTTTGTAATGGGAATATTCAATTCAAATACGTCCCTATTAAAATGAAGCATTTTGCACTTCACGGATGGCGTTTCGCACTGTGCGGATGCTTTTCATAATTAAAAATGTGTATGTACAAATGAACTCATGGGCGTAGCCAGGTAGGGGCAGGGGGTGCTCGAGCCCCCCCCCCCCTAACTTTCAAATTTTCCTTATATATATATAAAATAGTACCCTGAAATGCCAGCTTAATAGGGTCGAGTCCCCCCCGCCCCCCTCTAAATTTCATTCTGGCTACGCCGATGAATGCACTAACTGCGTACTGTGGTGTTGATTCAAACTCAAGATTTGAAAGCAAATTTACATGTCTGGCTGTAACTGAGTGCGTAAAGATGCTTGTCACAATTGTTAATTTCAAATTCCATTGCAGGCAGCATGCAAATTAAGTTTATTTTTTGGCTTATTCATTTTCAGATGCATTCGGTTACAAGTAGCCGGTTATTTATGCACAAGAGACACGAAGTGACTTGAAGGTACCACCCCAACATTCCAGATACATTAAGTAGGTAGCCACATAATTTTGAAGAAAACGTTACACCTGTTTATCGGAACAACCGATTGGTAGACGCACCTCACAGCCACTACGGCCGTTACGATTGCGTATACCAAGCACAAATTAGCAAACAAAGTCGACTTCCCTCTTATTACCTGATACTTAAGTGTTGAAATATTGTAACTCTAATGTGAATATATCCAATTTAGCATTGGCATCGTAGAGTTTGACATTTTCAATGTTAAACGCACTCAGAACATTATGTAATACCGAGTGCTATTTGTGATGTTTGCATATACTTGAAACATTTAATTCAAAACATGCGGTCAGCCGACGGAAAACTTTGACCCAGCAATATATTTTTTATCTGTGGTAATAAGAAAAAATCATTGGGTGCTAAACCAAGACTGTTGAGCGAATGACCCACCAATTCGATGACATGCATGCTCAAATACGGTTTTTTTTTTAGCTAATGTGTGAGAACTTCCATTGTCCGGCAATCATATACTGGTGTAATATTCAGAATTGACCGTTACTGAAACGGTGTCCAGTTATTCGGCAAAGTCCCGGCGACCATTTGCTTTGAGGTGCGTGAACAACGTTTCCTGGATTAGGCTCGTCTTGAAAGACCATACAGTCCATCGTGGTTCAGTTTCGTGTTCATATTCACACGTCTTGAACATTTCTTTTTACCAATCGACACGATCTTTTTTCAGCGATTGGCAAAGTATGCTGTGTCCAACGCAAACCGATCTGCTTGTTTTTATTCTTCGAGGAAAATCAAATTGAATTAAGTGAATAGTAAAAAAAAATATTTTGAATACAAATATGAACCAAATCCTACCATATGAGTTTTCCAACTATCGCAACTCCTGCGCCACCTATCGACGAAATTTTGCGGGGAGTTAGTCCTTTTCATCTAAGAAATATAATATATATTATATTCCAAATGTAAGCTAAATCATACTATATACGGGGTTCTCAAATAGATCGCCGGATTAATTCGCCTTCCATATGGTATGCCATCGGGTTCTAAACTAGGTTTAAAAATTGAAGTATCTAGCTGATCGGGAAGTTGGTTAAAAATCGATTGCAAGATTTGGCCCAAACAAACATGCTTACATACATACATAAAGTGCAAATTAAATAAAAGCTTTTAAAAATTGAAATCACCTTTAGCTTATATGGGATAGGATCGGTGAATATACACACCTAAAATAATAAATTGCGTTTATTCGTTAGATGAAGGCAAATGCGACAGGCAAAATTCTCGAAAATCAACCGTAATTTGGGCTACAAAACTGCATATCGACCATTTTTCTTAATATTCTGAATAAAAAGATTGAAATTATGGTGGAAATTTTTATAACTTTTGTACAAATTTTGAACTGCACTTTTATAAAACAAATACTAAATATTATGTACGTATGTCAAATTCATTTAATCTCAACATTTCCAAGGTATATTTATGTAGCCAGAGGCATGCACTATATCTACATATATCGCGAGTGTTTAAGATATGTTGTCGGTAATCAGTGAAATGTAACAGATTGTAGTTTTCTTACCTTGTCACGGCAACTAAATCTTCATTTATTGTAAATGTGTGGGGGTTGCGGAGGATTGGGGTGGAGTAACAAAACAAGACATAGCTGTCTACTTGACTTATGTAGGATGCCCAATTGACGCACTCAGTGACAGGCTGGAGCAACAGACAGAAAACGTCTGCATGACTGACTTACTGGCATATTCCGAACGCTGACAAACGCACATTTGCACCCTTTTACTAGCTTAAACAGTCTCCTTTGACCTTTTCATGAAAAACGTTGGCAGGTGACAGACAACAAAGCAGTCTCCAAACAACAAAATTAATCACTTACTTTCGCACGAAATTATATGTAGGCGCACAAAGGCACATACACTTAGGATTACATGTGTGCGTGAAGGTGTATGCAGCAATACGTGAGGGTTTAAGTTGTAAATGAGGGCAGTACTACCAGGGTTAAAGTCGAAATAACGGCCACAAATGCCGTTTTAAATGTGGATAAACGATTCTTTATATCTATACACATTCATATGTAGTACACAGATGTGTGCACTGGCATTTACATACCCAACAAACACTAGAACAAACATTTTCAAACGATTAAGGAAATTTTTATCTCAATTTGATTTTCAGCATTGTTTATCATTTGAAACTAAAATTTTTCTCAAATATTGTTTATCAACTTCAGAACGGTTTGAGAAATAATTGTTTAGCATTACGTTCCGTTCATCTGTGTCAACTAAGCAAAAATGTGGAAGTCTATCAATCGCAAAATGGGTCCTCGACCACGCGGTCGCTGTTATGAGTGAATTGAACATTTCATTTATTAACTTGAGTGAACATTTTTTGATAATATTATTTTGTGTTTAATCATTTTGTGACTGATCTGCAGAAATAAGCTACTGGGTGGGCATTAAAGCTTAAAAGCGAAAGAAAAAAATAGTCTGCTGTATCGATAGTGACCAACAGTTTGATTTAATAAAAATGTTTATTGGGTATGCTTTCAATGTCTTTGCCAGCAGTGAACTGGGTTCGTTTGCTGTCCGTGATTTAAAGCATACTTTGGGTATAATTTGTTACAAATTGTGATTAATTAAAAAGTGTCGGGTTAACCACCTTCTGTGGTAGTTTGTGGATGCGCACCCAATAGCAGTGCGCAGGGATGCGGGTCTTTAAATGACTTTAACCAGACAAACTGTATACCAGATATATGTTACACGTCTATCCATATTTTCTATAAATGAGAATATTTAAAATTAATGACTGCAATGAGCGTCCATTTTGTGCGTGTGAATTTCCATTCGAATTATCTACGTAATTGTTATTGTATGTACAAATGTATATTTATGTACAGATATTTTTTCCAACTAATTACAGCTGCTGGTAGGTATGTACATATGCATTCATACGTACATACATATGTATGTTTATCAGAAACTACGTCGCAAAATATTAAAGCCTGCGTATGTCTAGAAATGTATCTTTCTGGTAACTATATGGATATTTACAATCCGGTGCATACTGTCTACCATGGTGCATAGATAGCATGATTGGCTAATTTTGTTGTTGTTTGAATACATGAAACAACAACAATCATGCTATTTATGCTATCTATGCACCATGTTAGACCATATGCACCGGATCGTGAATACCCCGTATGTATTTTTATGCATATAAATATTCCAATAGGCTTTAAGCCTTATGCCTAGGAATGCACAACCCCTGTACGACTTGATATTGATATACAGATGTACTCATATCTGCTCTTTTATATAGAACATAACGATTTCGAACAAAGACCAGAAGGTTTTGGGGGCTTTCGAGAGAGAGCTATCCTATGCAAGATATATATCCCTGATCGCGTGGTCGAGTGGTACCGAAGACGATGGAAAGACAAACTGTACAAGCGTTTTAACGGCATGGACCGAAAAAGCATAAAACTGCAACGATTGCGCTGGTTCGGGCATGTTGTACGCATGGACGACAAAGCTCCAGTGAAAAGATCCTTCGGTTCGGCAACTAGGCGGACAACGAAAGCCGGGCGCCAACGAATACGGTGGAAGAACCAAGGGCAGAGGAATTTGTTCTCAGTCAGGATGAACAACTGGTGCAACTTCGCAAATGAGAAATTCAATCGTTTTATTAAAACAATCTCCATTTCACATTTGGGGAGTATGTACACGAACTTACAACGTAACTACATATTACTACAAAAGTCTAACAAAAAGCTTTGTTCGCGCAATTTAAGTTCATGATAAAAAAGTCACAAATAGCTATATTTGAAACTCACATTGTTGTGACTCTGATCTGTCTTCAATTCGCGATGATTGGAGAACTGCACGTAAACCATGCGTCCGCGCATATGAGGAGGGGTGACAGTGTAACACGAGACCATCGATGTCGCGGATACTTCATCGGCCATTTCGAGAAAAGCTTGATTTTTGCCCTTAAGGACGAGCACATTTGTAACTCGACCAAACGGTACACCTAATGAGATGACATCTGATTCGCTGGATTCATTTGGAATGTTACGCAAGTGGATGACTTTTGACGGTTTGCCTACAAAAAAGAAAATGTAAAATGGTGTTATTATTTGAAATTCAAATAAATAAGTTATGAAATAATTGAGAGATATAAAATAAAACAGGCAAGTACATATCGATGGTATTCTCAAATAACGACATAACTCAATAGTTCTTGCATTTAAAATATATAGAGGATTGGGTTACAAAATAACTATATTTCTCTGTGGAAAATCGACATATATCTAATTGTTACCAATCCTATAGAGGACGCAATTGTCAGAAAATCTAAAGTCTCAATTACTCTAGACTTAATTTACGTAACGCAACCTAATATAATGACCAACACAAAATATTTTTGTTCAGAAATATTTTGATGTAGCTTAAATATAGGCAGTAAAGTGACAATCAGCTGAAAAGGAAAATACAAAAACAATAAATTTTCCCTTCTGGCTAAATTAACGTGTTTAGTAATCATTGAAGATTTCTTCCGTAAGTTAAGTTAAGTCTAGACTAACCGACTTATAGTCTGCAACCCATGAAGTTCAACTATTTTTGACTTAATTTATCGTAAGAAATTGTTAGATTACTCTACATGTTAACTTAATCCATAAGCGTACATATCTTCCTTTAGTATTTTCCTTTTCAGCTGATTTACAGTTCCTGCTTATAAAATGCAAGCGAAAATGCATGTCTCAGTTGTGATCACTGTTTATCGTGAACATTGGCATAAGTCAAAAACTGTCGATCGGTTAGTGATGTTTTTATAGGAAATAAAGAAATAAAATTTCGTTTAACTACTTAGTAATAGTTACTTATTGTTTAAATAAAATAACTTTTCCAGACTGAACCTTACTAAATCTTTGAAAGCTTAAAAATGTTCACTATAGAATCACTGCACATATGTAATACGAAAATTTTAATTGGCTCTACTGAAAATTTTTATAATTTGAGTTATGTCGTTATTACGGAGTTTGCAGAAGGCATTTAAATACATAGAACAATCCAAAAATATATTTTAAATTGCCTTTGTTAATAGTAATGAAAGAGTAAATTGAAAGAAATGGCAAAGACATAAATTAATCTTTATGCAATGAACGATAAATATTATTTGAACATAGGATAATTATTGATGTTTTAAAACAGCTGTAAAATCGTTTCTGATGCAAGCGAGACAACTTTTTGGCTTCTCCGACATACCTAAGAGAATACCAACTTGCCATTTCGGCATTTTTATATGCAGTTACATATATAGTATACTTAAAAATATTTTTTTACCTGAAGCTAATTAACGCTTTATTTAGATAAGGGTAATTAAGCTTTACATAGTAGTATTTGCAACACCACACAATACTCATTTAATGTGAGCAATAAACCCTTTCATACCTTCGTCCCATACCGAAAAATGACATTCATGCTTTTGCCAGATCTCTGGTGGCATATAAAAATACCGAACGCTCCATCCACGCGCTACACTCACTCAAAGAATTTACATATGTATGTATGTGCATACTTTCGTGCAGTAGGTGACTGAGCAACGGTTGTGGCGATGTGCCGCAAATGCAGTGGTAAATGCCACACATTTTACGACTAAATTCCCTACGCAACACAATGAGGAGCTTGGCAAGTAGTTCCGAGTTTACAGCACTTTTAAGCTCCTGCACTTAAGGAAGGCGCATGAGTGGCAAGCTAGCTAGCTAGCTAGATTGGGTGTCACGTTGTGCAGTAGACAGATGGTAGCTCATGGCACAAGAAATACTTTATGCTTATAAAAATTTAAGCTACTTCAGACGTCAGAAAGGAAATCCTTGAAATGTTGCACATCACAAATGTTATGCGGCAAACAGCTGCAAAAATAGATGCCCAAAAATGAAGGGTAGCAGAGTGAAAGAGAAGAAGTACGTAGACGCGTAAGTGTATAGGTGCCGTAAGTGACGACAAGAGGAAGAATATCACAGAACACGAGCACATCCCTGCAGAAAATCTGACTAGCCTAGAACTAGCGTAGAACTAGACCTTTTGCCGACAGTACCAGTTCTAGCTCAATACCCAAGCAATGCTTTCAACTGTCCAGTTTTGCACGGCGATGTCATTGGCGGTGGCAATTGTCGCCCAGTGCATTACTTTGTAACCGGTTTTTAACTGGTTCCATTTTTTTTTGTATAACAAAACGTTTTTGCGATTCGATTTTTGGATTTTTTTTCGTTTTTTCTTTTCTTTTAAAGATTCCGTTTTTGTGACACATTTTATTAAAAAAAAAAATATTGTAAGCTGCACGCAACAATTTAAATTCATTAAATTTGAAAACTCACAACTGCCTCCACCGCGATTTGAACTCGCGACCAACGATGGTTGAGTCGGAGGTCTTCTCGCTGAGCTACTTTCGTATTGTACGAGCAGTGAGCATTTGCACATTTACACCGCAAGTTTCAACTGTCCCGCTCTGCATTCCTTTTGCACCAGTTCAGAGATATGTAGTTCGGAACTAGCGCTTTGTCAGACTGTCTCTAAATTTTACTGCAGGGATCCTACACATTTTGCTTGTGTGCGAGTACGCTTATGTGTGTGTACGAGGATGTAACACTCACTGGGGTAAAGACTTTAATCCGCTGCTATTTGTACCACGCTGCAAGAATTTATTTATGCAAAAATACTAACAATGCCGACAACAGCACAACAGCACAACAAGACTAACAAACAGCTATAACAATGCGAACTAAAAGCACAAAAACGACATTAACAAGACATTGCAGCATTCTCATGCAACGAGACCACTGTACTGGCGTGAACTTTCGCAGCGGGCAATGGTGGCACGGTGTGAATGGCCAGTCACTCGACAGCCAGTCAACTAGTCAAGTGGTCCGTTAGTCAGTCAGACATACAGTCACTCAATGAGCTGACCAGTTCCGGAGAAGTAGGGCGTATAAGCGAACGAACAGGTGTATTGTCGCTGGATTAAGTTGAAAGGTTACACTCTATTTACGAGAAACTGGGTATAAACCGATAGGTTGTATATATGTAAATATGAATAAGTATTCGTAGACAAAACGCCAATAGTGCACACACGTATTAATTTACCTCTCCACAGGCATTTTCATTGTATAGGGTGTTGCCAGGAACTAGGCATAGCAACTAGAATTTCCAGGGAAAAAAGATACATTAATAATGAATACAAGTAAATTTTTTTTCAATTATATTATTTAACCTACAATTGTATGTATAGACAGTTTTCAATCTTTGAAGGATTGTGAGTCCGAGTGGACAATTTATTGTCTCTGTTTTGGATTCAAAAGATGGCAAACTCGATTAGAAATGGCCAACTTCATATCAGAAAAAATTTCAATTAGCACGAAATTGTTCCGGAAGTAGAATCACAATACCAAGAGTGTGACTGAAATTCTCAACCTCGATTTCTCGACCGACTCGGATTTGCGGGGGGAAATTTCAACAACTTGCACTAACTCCAAATGCGCTTTTTTATGACATTTCCGGAAAATATCAACGAGTGGCAATACATTTGTTAAATATAGGTAATGAGATTAAATAACTACTTCGTATTTATTTTTTCGCAACCCATGGACACCTAAGCAAGTGTTTGCTGCTGTTGCCAGAAAATGTGAATGTGAACGTGTTAATACTACAAGCCTAAATAAAAGCTGTTGTTGCGGCTTATTTTCCCAGCCACAGACACAAAGACAACAGAAATGTCGACTCATACACATTCATACCGGTATGTGTTGTGCAAGCGATCAAATGCAGGCAAAGTTAATGTAATGGGCGCTAAAGTGGCAAAGGAAACAAACAATAGTGTGAAAAATAACAGTAACAAAATTAAAAAAAAATTACACAAAAAATATAGAAAAACGTAAGTCCTCCGGAAAGCCTGCGGCAGGCCTCACACCAACCCAGTCAGGTGCCGAAAGGACAATGGTTTTAATCGTTGGGAATATGTGGTCACGTCTGCAGCTGTCGCCAGAAGTTTCTGATTTGCGCTAGCGTTTTAAATTTTTAATTTTTTTACATTTTAAATTATATATTTTACTTTTCACTCTGAAGTATAAACAGGGCATAAGCTAATCTGATACCTTAAGACCATTTACGCATCGGTATTATACGGCTTAAAAGTTTCACTAAGAGTTTGATGAAGTTCTTGGACTAACGGATTTTCACATGAAATATGTATGTTTCCCAGGCAAATATGATGACGGAGATAAGTTTGTGACGCATACATGTTCAATTAAATTATTGCTCTGTCTATTGGATTAATAGTGTTTAAGCGACTTATGCATTTCCCGCATAAACCAAGTGCAGCGGACAAACACACGCACTTGAGTCTAAAAGTAATCCGTTCGTTCTTAATTGGGTATGCATTTTTTATGCAATTCTCAAATCTCTCTTCGCGAAATTTAGTGAAGTGATAAGTCGCTGACAATTTCAGCCATGGTCTATGCTAACCCCAGCTTGGCTGTCACACGATGCTTTAAGCATCTCTCCCACTCCACTCCCGGAGTAGTTTTTGGCATGGTAGTAAGCTACAGCTTACAAACCACAGTGGACCTCTGCATGAATGCATCCCTGAATAAATCCCAGCTCATTGCAAAGCTGCCTACGGCAGCTAAAGCATGACTCCTCCAATGAAGTCCCCCAATTGATACATGGAAAAAGGGTCACATCTTGCGCTACCGCTTCATAAGCCTGCCCGCATATCTCACTGTCGCTCTCTCCCGCATAGCAGGCATATGTAGTGCGTAATTGCCTTGATGTGCACCTATAAACCATATGGGCTCATTGAGTTCGAAATATAAACACTCGCGCCAAAGATTATCCGTATCTCCTCTACTCCTCTTACTCGATCACAACTCTAAACCTGGTATCCCGCTCTCTCTCAGCTAAACAAATAGTTTATACATGGCGTATGCGTAACATTCTTTCGTCATACATATTTCATAAAAAGAAGTTATTACGCATTCTCATTTGACCATTTACAACTTTGTTTATTAACTAAAACTAGAAAAACGGTAAAAAGGACCGCAATTT